GCAGAAAGCCTCATCTTTCTCCCTCGGAGCAGCTGATGGTTTGGAAACACTGACCTTGTGGTTAGCTGCCCAACACCGAACCCATTGTGCCACCAGAGTTCACAGCAAAGCTAGTCACAAGCTCTGCTTACACCAGAGTGGGGTCTGTTCAAGGTACAATTTAAAACAAGATACATAGGAAACTCTCACTGTCATCGAGCCCATTCTGACTCATATGGACCCAATGGGGCAGACTGGAACTGCCCCTGTGGGTTTCCCAGGCTGGAAACCTTCATGGGAGCAGGCAGCCTCATCTTTCGCCCAAGGAGCTGCTGGTGGATTTGAACCAAGGAGCTTGTGACCAGCTCACTGAGAAATCAAGTGAGTCAGTCCTTTTGGGTCAGCCTCTGCGTTTCCATAAATATACATCCTGCTGCCCGGGTCTCCAGGGAGGTCCACGGGAGCTTCATACACCATCCACTCTCTCAGGGTCCTGGAGGCCAGAGTCAAAGGTGTGTCTCCTACCTGGCGTAGAATCAAGGTGTGGCCAGATGGACTGTGCTCCTTCCCAAGGCTCCCCTGGGAGATCAGCTTCCTTGCCTCTCCCAGCTTCTAGAAGCTTCCCATCTTCCTTGGCTCTTGGCCCCCAACCCCCAGTTCTTCCTTCTCTGGCACTGACCCTCCTGCTGCCCCCTCATGAAGAATCCATGTGACTACAGGGTCATCTTGGAAGAAAGGGGAGACTGGGGCCCCTCTGGTCACTTACTCTCTTCCAACCTCTGGGTGGGCCGTGTGTGCTGAGGAGGGTGCCCGGGGGCGGCCCGGAGATGGCCCGTGTTGGCTGGCGGCGATGTCAGCAAAGCTTGCCTAGTTCTCTGCAGCTGCAGGGGGCTAGGGCTCAGACCCTGAGCCTGGGTCTGGGCTGGGGGCGGGGACGGGGGCAGGCCCAGGGCTGCAGGGCCAGGCCTGGCTGCCCCAAGCTGTGCCTCGAGGACAGCCAGCCTGGCACCCTGGCTGTGCACCAGCTGTGTCAAGTCAGCCAGCGTGTCCTGCAGGGTGTGCACATCCAGGCAGGAGGCAGCTGTGCCCTGGACCTTCTGTTCCTTGCGGTGCTGGACAAGCTGCCGGCTCGCCTCGCTCAGGGCCTGATCCAGGGCCAGCAGCTTCACGTCCACTTTTCGGCCCCTGCGCTGAGTCTTCCGCACCCAGGTCTTCAGGTGACACAGGTCAGCCTGCACGGCGGCCTGTGACTGGTTCATGGAGAGGGCCATGGCCTGGCTGTCCTGCTCCAGGCTCTGGAAGCGGACATCAAGGTTGTAGGACAGGTTGTAGTTGCTGGCGATGGCCTGCAGGCGCGTTAGAGTCCCCTCCTGAAGCCTCCGGAACTGCAAAGGGGACACAGGGTAGTGGCAGGGGCGGGGGCTGGGCAGGAACAAGGCTGCCACATGCTTGTTCTGCATTGACTGCTTCAGGACTGCGTGCCAGCGACTGTGGTCAGCCCCGGCTGGAGTGCCAGTGTCCCCGGGGCTAGAGGGGACCCCACTTCAAGCTAGCGGGGTCCCCAGGGCTTCCAAGCCAGCCATAGGAATATTCACAAATAAATATTAATGACAGGCTGGTGTTACAGTGATGATGTGTTGGGCTGCTAGCTTCAAGGTCAGAAGTTTGAAACCACCAGCTGCTCCAAAGAATAAAAATGGGACTTTCTACTCACCCCCCAACCCCAAATTACAGCCTTGGAAATCCACAGGGGCAGTTCTACTGTGTTTTATAAGGTCATTATGAGTCAGAATAGAGTCAATGGCAGAGAGAGGGGCGGGGGGCGTAGGCAGAGAGAAAGAGAGAGACCTAGTGGCATAGCGTTATGTGCTGGGCTGCTAAACGCAAGCAAAGTCAGCAGTTCAAACCCACCAGCCCCTCCATGAGAGGAAAAGGAGGCTTTGCGCTTGTAAAAAGTTACAGCCTCAGAAACCCACACAGCAGTCCTACCCTGTCCTATAGGGTCACTGTGAGTCGGAATCTACTCGATGGCGGTGAGTTTGATTCGGATAGCTCTGGGATGAAGGATGAGGCCAGCCTAAGGGATTTACGAGTATCGCTGCTAACCACAAACCCAGCAGTTCAAAACCACAGCCGCTCCGCAGTAGAAAGACTCCCATAAAGCCTTGGAAACCCTGAGAAGCAACGGATCCCACATGGAAGACGCACACCAGCCTGTGTGATCACGAGGGTCGATGGGATCAGGTATCAGGCATCAAAAAACAAAAAATCATATCATTGTGAATGAGGGGAAGTGCGGAGTGGGGACCCAAAACCCATCTGTAGGCAACTGGACATCCCCTTTCAGAAGGGTCGCAGGGAGATGAGTCAGTCAGGGTGCAATGTAGCAACAATGAAACATACAACTTTCCTCTAGTTCCTAAATATTTCCTCCTCCCCACTATCATGATCCCAATGCTACCTTACAAATCTGGCTAGACCAGAGGATGTACACTGGTACAGATAGGAACTGG